TTCCTTCCTTCCTTCCTTCCTTCCTTCCTTCCTTCCTTCCTTCCTTCCTTCCCTCCCTCCCTCCCTCCCTCCCCCCTCCCCTTTCTTATGCATCCATCCATACTAGCTCAAGGTTGATTCAGCCTTCCGTCCCTCCGAGGTGGGTAAAATGAGGGCCCAGATTGTTGGGGGCAAGAGGCTGGCTCTGTAAACCACTTAGAGGGGGCTGTAAAAACACTATAAAGCCGTATACATGTCTAAGTGCTATTGTTACTTTAACCGAGTGTACATGTCAACCGGCCCATTGGCCTATGCAGCAGAAGCAGCTCCTGGGAAATTATTTCACCGAGTGTATAAATTTTACTTGATAGATCCAAATAGGTATAGAAGAAGCAAAGCCAGTTCTTTGGGCGTGAAAGGTAGCATAGTTAAACTCATTGGCCAATCTACCACTCGCCAGGCTCATGAGTTCGTCGAAGCCTCCCCATCACAAGACCCTCACTTAACACACCTACACCTGAAGCCCTTATAAACAGAACAACACTGACATCCCCTAAACCAGTGGTCCCCAACCTTTTTTGGGCCACGGCCCGGTACCGGCATCACAAAATCATCCGCGGCCCGGTACCGGCATCAGCACGCATGGCAAGGCGAGCAGAGCGACCGGCCAGCCAGCCGTCCCCCGCTTCTCCCTGCCACCTTCAACTCCTCCTTTGTACCTGTGTCGATGGGCTTCGCGACGGCTCGCCTTGCCATGCGTGCTGAAAGAATCCTCGCGCCTTAGTTTTGTTCGAAGCCGTCGCCCCCCCCTCGATGAAACTAAGGCGCGAGGATTCTTTCAGCACCCAAACGCCGCTTTCTACCTGGAAAAGCTCACCGGAAGCACTTTTTCATCAAAACAAGATGGCGGCACCCAGCAAACTGGCGGCCTGGTAGAAATTGTTCCACGGACCGGTACCGGTCCCTGGACCAGTGGTTGGGGACCCCTGCCCTAAACTCCACTGAAGGTGTTATCTAGCCTGGTAATGAAACCGTGGGAAGCCTATAGATCAAGGGTCTTCAAACTTGACAGCTTTAAGACTTGTGGACTTCATCTCCCAGAATTCCTCCTCCGGTCATGTTAGCTCAGGAATTGAAGTCTGGAAGTCCACAAGTCTTAAACTTGCCAAGTTTGAAGACCCTTGGCATAGAGGCTCTCAGCCATCCAGGCCACGGTTGTCTCAAAGATGCTTTTTTCAGGAGGCAACTGGACTTTAGTCTTTTTCTTTTGAAGATGTCTCGCTTCTCCTCCAAGAAGCTTCTTCAGTTCTGACTGAATGGTGGGGAATGGAAGGGTTTGTATTCTTTGCAGACAGCTGGTCATTTGCATCCTTTTAGAGCCGGGTTTTCCAAACTTGGCCACTTTTAAGATTTGTGGACTTCAACTCCCAGAATTCCCTCAACACCGTCCAACTATTTACAAAGTCTGCACTACTATTACTATTAAACTTCTCATAACTCCTTATCGCCCATCTCCCTCCCACTTGTGACTGTGTGACTGTAACTTTGTCGCTTGTATCCTTACGGTTTTATTGACTGTTTCCTAGCATGATTTGATTGCTTATTGTACCCTACGACTATCAGTAAGTGTTGTACCTGAGGATTCCTGACACTTGACGAATGTATCTTTTCTTTTATGTACACTGAGAGCATTTGCACCAAGACAAATTCCTTGTGTGCCCAATTATACTTGGCCAATAAAGAATCCTATTCTATTCTATTCTATTCTATTCTATTCTATTCTATTCTATTCT